CATAATAAGTAGACATTCTGGCTGCTTGTTTTTTTTTTCCGTGGATGCAGGTGGTGGTGAGATCTATATAATTAAATAACTCATCATGAAACCTTACAGACATACAACTGCTGAAAAAAACCATCACCTTCTTGTCTTTGTTTTTTTTTAAAAAAGTAAACAGTAATAGAAAACGCTGCTCGGCTGGGCATATCACATACCCCTGCTGCAAACCCGAAACTGTCGCCACAGAATTCTGCACCTGCAAAAATAAAAATAAAAAAAAAATAAAAAAAAAAAATATATATATAAATAATATATATAGAACACAAATCATAAAAAAAGAAAACGCATGTATGCATTGAGAAAAAAAAAGGGTCCAACCATACAGAACACAAATCATAAAAAGAGAAAACGCATGCATGCAATAAACCTCATGAACCATCAGCTGCATGCATGCATGCATGCACTTCATTGCATGCATGCATGCGTGCATGCATGCATGCATGCATGCAAGGAAGTGTGGGGCTGCCGTACCTGGACGAGTACGGGTTTTTTAAGAGAGAGACGGGCCAAGTCTGCAACTTTAGCGGTTTGTGTTGCTGAGAATAAACACGTTTGTCTCTGTTTGGGTAGCAACGCCAATATGGCGTTCATTTCCTCCTCAAAGCCAATCTCCAGAATTCTGTCCGCCTCATCAATCACCAGAGATAATAAATTCTTATACACGAAACCCTAAACACACACAAATATATGCATGCAGCAGTGCAACTATGCATGCATGCATGCATATATCCGTGCATGCATGCACGCATGCATGCATATATACATGCATGCATGTATGCATATATCTATGCATGCATGCATGCATGCATGGATTGCATGTATTGCATCCACCAGCTTCCCGTATGTCTGCTCAATACCCAGTGATAAGCCCCATCCAAGCCGTAGAGCATGCATCGTTCTTAGACCCAGATATATAGAGTATAATATATTAATATTATATGTAAGTTTGTTAATATAAGAAAGAGGGTTTATACTTTAGTATCTATTTGACAGTATATATATATATATATATATATATATATATATATATATATATATATATATACATATTCTTACTTTAGTGTTTTGCATATGATCTAGAAGGCGTCCTGGTGTAGCGACAAGAATATTAACTCCTTTGGAGAGTTTTTCCGCTTCATGTTTTCTGTTGGCTCCGCCCATGACCAGACCAATGGTCTGCGGCAGATACTTTGATAGCTCCACAGCCACATCATATATCTGCAGAGACAGCTCGCGTGTTGGAGATATAACTAACACTCCTGTTCCGTTGCGGGGCAGAAACTTCACTTGGTACAAAAGCTCAACTGCAGGAATTAAAAATGCTAGAGTCTTGCCGGATCCTATAAAAAATAAATAAATAAATAAATAAATAAATAAATAAATACATATATGTATATATAGAAACAGAATAAGAAGAGAAATCCTAGCAGGAAAAAAAAGAAAAATCCAGCAGCTGAAATATATACAAAGGGGGAGGAGAGGGAGAGAGATATGTACAAAGCAACAAATGTTGCAGGAGGTGTATATACACTGCAGCAGCAGAAAAAGAAACAAAATATTTTGTGTAACAAATGATATACCTGTCTTAGCTGCCCCCAATACATCTTTACCCTCAAGCAACCGCGGTATCGCCTTGGCTTGTATTTCTGTTAGTTTCTCCATTTGCATATCTTTTAGGGCGTTCTTAACGGGCTCACATATATCCAAGCTTTCAAACAAAACGTCAGAAAAGAAACCACCAGCTACACCTGCAGAGAGAGACGCACACACAAAGCAAACCCATGCATGCATGCATGCATGCATGCAACGGAGTTTTTTTTTCACACCATGTTATATATGTGTGCGAGCAGCAGCAGCGGCAGCACTTCGTCTGTAACTCATTCACTCCTCACTACAGCATGCACAGAAGTTATACCTGGGGGAGTTTTCTTCTCTGCTTCCTCCGTCTCAGCTGTATCTGCAGCTGCAGGGGCCTCTTCCTTGACGGTCACATCCATGGGGCCCTCGCCGTTCTCTTCTGGCGTTCCTGCGTCTGATGCATTCTCAATCGGGTCATCGCTGGCTGGATCGTCTTCTGCATGCGGAGGGTCTTGCAAGGAACTGACTTTCTTATCTTTTTTCACCTTTGCCTTCTCGGCGAGATGCCGGCGTTTCTTTCTGTTTTTTTCCTTTTCTCCCTTCATTGTCTACTACTTACAGCAGAAAACCTACAAGAAACACGCTGCCAGTTGCAGCTGCGCAGTGTAAGAAAGACGAAATCTGAACGGTCATACGATTTGCAAAAAACACGAATGCGACGAAAAAGAGGTGGAAAGCTGAAACAAATGCAGATGCAAACACCGCAATGTTTATGTCTTCTCTTTATAAGAAACTTCTTGAAGAATTTGAAACAAATCACGCAGCAGATATTTCAGAAATGAACAAACTGGTCGCCCGGTCGGCGGAAAGCTGAACTGCTGGGGTGTATCGACAGCTATGGAAAGCGCTAATCTCGCCGCAGGATTCCGAACCCCCGACGCGTCAGAATGCGTTTCTACGACTACAGAAGCCAAATAAACCAATTTAATTCATAAATTCACAATCTATACAAACTCTTCTTCCTTCGCCCCACAGTGGAAATTGAAAAGGGTTCTACGGGGGCCCCTCGTCACGGGGCCCCTGTATACCTGTATCGCCAATGAAGGGGGTTTCCTCGTCTTCTTTCCTCGTTCGAAGGAGTTTAAGGTGAATAAACAAGAACTCATGGACCAAAATTTAATTTATTAATCATAAAGTTAAAATTATTAATTTTTTCAACTTTTTTATTCAGCTTTCTACGCCGACCGCTTTGTGGTGTGGTTGCAGCAGTTGCCAGCGCATGCAGCGGCAGGAATGGGGCTGCGCTGCTCGAGGCATTTGACGAAAGCAGTGGCTATGTGTTTTATCATTTTGCTTTTTTTACAATTGGACACAAAAAGTGTCTTTATTCCTTTTAATTTATCTCCCTTTGCCTCCTTTCACATCAACTGCCGCAGGGCGCGGCAGCGGCTCGCGGGCTGCTGGCTCGCCGGCTGGCTGTTGCTCCCCTTTCTTTGTTCTTTCCTAGCTGTCTGTACACCACACGAGCAGACCAGCGAATTTATTGCCGATAAAATTCAGCTACTTCTCTCTCACTAAACCTCTAGAAAGACGGACGAGGGAGAGGAGGGGGCCCCTTGGGTCCGTCAACCCCAGGGTACAGGATGACACCTACAACGGGGGCCCCTACAGGTGCCTCCACCTCCTGCAAGGAAACAGCAACTGCTGCTGATGCAACACAACTGCAGCAGCAAACGAATCATGCAGAGCAGCAGAAACCAAACACGCAGGACAAGCTCAACCACCCAAACACGGGGGAAGGCGGCACAGCGACGGCTGCCCCTGCTGCTGCTGCTCCTGCTGCTGCAGCAACAGGAGCAGCAACACCGGCACCAGACAGTGCATCATTGACAGCAGCAAAACCCGTCGCATCAGCAGCAGCAGGAGTACCTCCAACAACTGCAGCAGCAGCACCAACGCAGGCGGCAGCACCAGCGGCTGCAGCAGCATCGCCAGCAGCAGCTGCAGCAGCACCCCCCGCGGAGGGCGCACCAGCAGCAGCAGCAAATGCAGCAACAACAGCAGCAGCAGCAGCAGCACCTGCTGCAGCAACAGCGGCTTCTCCCGTGCCAGCAGGCGCTGAGGTACCCCCTGCAGCAGCTGCAGGAGAAGCGCCGGCTGCGTCTCCAGCAGCAGCAACAGCAGCAACAGCAGCAGCACCAGCTTCTGCTGCTGCAGCGGATGCAGAATCAGCAGCACCAGCATCCGACCCAGCAGCAGCAGCAGCAGCAGCAGCAACACCTGCAGCTGGGGGTGCATCATCATCCCCAGCAACAGCAGCAGCAGGAGGAGCATCATCATCTACACAGCAGCCTGCAGCTGCAACAACAACAACAGCAACACCAGCAGCAACAGCAGCAGGAGCAACAGCAGCAGAACCAGCAGCAGCAGCAGCAGCAGCAGCAGGAGGTGCTGAGTCCCCTTCATCATCATCATCTTCATCTGTCTCTATGCCTGTTCCCTCTTTAAACAGTTCAGTGCATGCATGCTATTGTTCTTGCGGTGAGTTATACTTAACAGAGACAGAGTATATGCATCTACAGGCTTTCTTCTCTTCTCTTAGGGGCCCCAATGCAGTACCCTGGCGTTTGGTCGAGGTACAGGAGGGGCCCCCAGTAGGTGGTAATACTCGCAAAGCAAAAAAGGGTTCAGCAGCAAAAAGATATGCAGGGGCCCCCATAGGTTCAGCGGGGGGCCCCCATCATGATAGACAAAGACGTCAATCTATAGCTAACTATGGGGGCCCCCCTGCAGCAGCAGCAGCAGCAGCAGCAGCAGCTCCTGAATTACCAAAGACACGTGCATCTCGTTTGCGTGGCAATGCATGCGGTGGTAGTATATCTTCTTTAGGCCCTTCTCCTGCTGGGGGCCCCCCCCATGTGGGGGGGGGCCCCCAGGGGGGCCCCCCCCTAATGGGGGGAGGGGGTCCCGGTGCTGTTGCGGATGCAAAAGACTGGCCGCAGCGCATGCAACGTATACTGGTGGAGCTGTGTAGACAGCCTGTGTGTGTGCCCTTTCTCCCGCGTGTGTCTCCTCGAGACAGCCACTACAACGAGTTAGCTAGGAAAGTATATCCTGCTGTGCCTGTAAGCTTGGAGACAGTATTAGATAGATTAGAGAAAGGAAATTATTATAAGAGAAGTATAGATGTGTTTAATGATATTTATTCTGTTTTTATTTGTGCTTATAGATACTATGAGCCAGGCCATCAATACTGGATGATGGCCCATGAGGCTGCTCTTGCTTTCAGTGCACTTACAGCTGATGAACCTTTATGTAATATATTTTCTTCTCCCTCTTCTTCTTCTTCTTTATATACAAATACAAATATAAATATAAATAATAATATAAATAATAATAATAATATAAATAATTATAATAATAATAGTGCTGATGCTCTCTATACTCATACACAAGATGAACAGTGGGATCTATCTTCTTCTAGGAGTACAGCACAAAGAAGAAATGCAACAAAAAATAAAAACTATAAACAGTATGAAGGTAAGCATATATATGTATATATATATATATATATATATATATATATA